CCACTCGCACTCCAGGCCGTCGGGACACTCCCATGAGGCTGATTTGCTTCGCGGAAGGGATGCGCGCCCACAGCAGCTGTACCATCACCGTCTCGTCCATATTGTATGAGGTCTCCCTCACTAGACCCGCTACCGCATCTAGCCAGTCCTCAAACCGCTCTTCGTCGGTAATGTCGGCCTTGGGCCAGGCGCTGCTATTGAGCGCTGCTACCCACGCGGCACGTTCGGACTTGTCCATGGCTTCTGACGGCGGGAACCTCGGCATGTACTCGAACCCTATCGTGTCCTGAACCCATCCAGTAGTTGTCGCCACTGGGTTGTCCGGGATGGGTTGAGGACACGTGGTACCGCCGAGGGCGTCCCCGCGTGGAGAGAGCTCCACATTACTGGTCGTCGCATCGGAATGTAGGTTGAGCATCACTTGTAGGTTTTGTGTAAAAATTCCCCCCCTCCCTCTTTTATTGTCGACAATCTCTTCTGAGCTCGTTGTGTCTCCGGACGGCTCACCAACCTTGCCCACCGACGACCAGCACCACGAACACTCCCAGACCGATAGGCTGCGAGAACCAAAAAAGCGAATTTACTTTTTTGGGTTTGAAGATGCGGACGTTCAAGGGTGAGGCGAGTGGCATGCCAGGCAGCGAGTTGTTGTCTGTGTTGATCCGTCCGGATGGCAGCCAGACGAAGTTGGACAATTGTGTGGCACAGGTAGTTACGATGCGCGCGGGTGGTGGCGGGGAGGTGACGGCTTTGGTATTGGCGCCTAAGACTGTGTTTGAAACAGAGCTGGAGCCGGTCGGCGAGCGAACGCCGTCAGCGTTGGAAACGACGATGGTGGAGGGCGAAAACTACGACTGGTTCGAGCAGTGGGACCGGATGATGGTATGGCGTCCGAAGGAGGGGCCTCCGAGCGATGCTCACGCGGAGGCGGGGCTGCTGGACGCGCTGCGGCGCCGGCTGGAGCACAGGGGACCTCGGAACAAGCCTGAGGCGGTGGGCACGTTATGTCGCGAAATATTTGGGGACCACTTGCGGGACCTGCGCGCGTTCCTCAATAGGATTGGCGATTCGACGCCTCTGGACGAGGTGGACGACGTCACGGTGTCTGTCATGCGGCCGATAGACCCGTCGGAGTTGGCGGAGCTCTTGGCGCGGGTGCCCAAGAACTGGATGCCGGTGCTTCAAAGGTCGGTGGAGTGGAAGACTGCAGGGTGGAAGACTGCGGGTTGGGCCGATGGCGGGGACCTGGAGACCGGGAGGGTCAGACGCAAAACCAAGCAACGACTGTACAAGACCGGGTGCGTCCTGGGAGTAGGCGCCGCTGTCTTGTTCCTCGGGAGTGTACTGTGGCGATCCTCCAAGTCGGCGCAGGGAGAATTAGGTCCAGCGGTGCCGGGGACCTACGCGCAGTTGACCGGCAACGAGGACCGGGAAGACTGGCCGACGGTTTGGCGAGGTGACCAGAACGTCCCGGTGGCGCCCTGCGGCAGCGGCACCCTGCGTTGCGACGCGGGTTGCGGTGCAAACAACCCCCGGCGGATCGCCTTCGGCCAACCCTGGCCCATCACCTTCCCGCTAGCCTGGGAAGTCGCCCACGCGTCCCCCTACGCGTCTGGAAAGTGCCGAGTCCACTGCAACACGTTTGACGAATCAAAAATCGCTCTCGACACACGACTCCTCACACGCTTCCCTATGCAAACCCGTTTCAACACAACCATGTCGCGCGAGGAGCAAGTGACACAAATCTTGAATGCATTAAGTACCAAAGCATGCCAAGGTGCGAATGAAGCGTCGCGAGACGCATCCGAGCTCGGCTGCGTGTGCGACTTCGCGCTCGTCGAGTGTGATGTGACTGTTAAGCCGAAAGACAGCAGGTGGCTGCCCAGAGACGAACGGGAAATTCACAAAGTCGTGCTCACCGACATGGAAGCACCCATCGCCAGGCTAGCCGCTTCGTTAGGCGACTATCCGGTTGACACGTACGACGTCTCGCTGTGCAACCACGTATGTTTAAACCTGAGTTCGGATGCAAGAAAGACCGTAGAAGCAAACAAGGCCGCAGAAGCCGCCTACCTGGCTACCCTTACGACTACCACCAAGCGTCCGAAAGTTCGCCAAGAAGAGGAACTGATGGATAACGAGTTTGGTGACATTATAGACCATAAATTTCTTCATTTCGGTTAGTCGTACGCAGAAGAAGTGTGATCATACTCGTTGAGGGTCCATTGAAAAAAAGGACGAATACTACTATCGCCGTGCACTTAACCGATCACAAGGCAAGAATAGTAACTTCATGTTCCATGTCCCTATGCGAGGATTTGCCCATACCGCTCCGTTGAGGATTTGTTCGTAGCGCTCCGTTGAGGTCTTCGAAAAGTCATTCCACTGATCAGTCGTTATGCACGAGATCTTCAGTTATGTGCCCACTTTCCAG